GACACTTCCAGGAAGCACGAGACACTTCCAGGAAGCACAAGACACTTCCAGGAAGCACGAGACACTTCCAGGAAGCACGAGACACTTCCAGGAAGCACGAGACACTTCCAGGAAGCACGAGATACTTCCAGGAAGCACCAGACACTTCCAGGAAGCACGAGACACTTCCAGGAAGCACGAGACACTTCCAGGAAGCTCGAGACACTTCCAGGAAGCACGAGACACTTCCAGGAAGCTCGAGACACTTCCAGGAAGCACCAGACACTTCCAAGAAGCACGAGACACTTCCAGGAAGCACCAGACACTTCCAAGAAGCACGAGACACTTCCAGGAAGCACGAGACACTTCCAGGAAGCACGAGACACTTCCAGGAAGCACCAGACACTTCCAGGAAGCACGAGACACTTCCAGGAAGCACGAGACACTTCCAGGAAGCACCAGACACTTCCAGGAAGCACCAGACACTTCCAGGAAGCACGAGACACTTCCAGGAAGCACGAGACACTTCCAGGAAGCACAAGACACTTACAGGAAGCACGAGACACTTCCAGGAAGCACGAGACACTTCCAGGAAGCACGAGACACTTCCAGGAAGCACGAGACACTTCCAGGAAGCACGAGACACTTCCAGGAAGTACGAGACACTTCCAGGAAGCACGAGACACTTCCAGGAAGCACGAGACACTTGCAGGAAGCACGAGACAATTCCAGGAAGCACGAGACACTTCCAGGAAGCTCGAGACACTTGCAGGAAGCACGAGACACTTCCAGGAAGCACGAGACACTTCCAGGAAGCACGAGACACTTCCAGGAAGCCCAAGACACTTCCAGGAGTGTTCCAGGAGAGGGAGCTGCGTGACACATGAAGCACCTGCGTGACACATGAAGCACCTGCGTGACACATGAAACACCTGCGTGACACATGAAACACCTGCGTGACACATGAAGCACCTGCGTGACACATGAAACACCTGCGTGACACATGAAGCACCTGCGTGACACATGAAACACCTGCGTGACACATGAAACACCTGCGTGACACATGAAACACCTGCGTGACACATGAAGCACCTGCGTGACACATGAAACACCTGCGTGACACATGGAACACCTGTGTGACACATGAAGCACCTGCGTGACACATGAAGCACCTGCGTGACACATGAAACACCTGCGTGACACATGAAACACCTGCGTGACACATGAAACACCTGCGTGACACATGAAACACCTGCGTGACACATGAAACACCTGCGTGACACATGAAACACCTGCGTGACACATTTGCGACAGGAAGCGTATATATCGCGTTTCTGTTTGCTTCCAATTTGTCCAATATAATACATATGACAAAGTGTCAATTAAAGCTGTTCTAACATAGTGAGAGTCACAGAATTTCCTCCAGCTAAATTCAGGAAAAATTTGATATTTTCTTATACAATATTTTTGTTCGCCATTATTTTTTATTCATTATGTAAATATAAATCTTGTTTAAGCTCATTTAAAATTCCTGTAGATGAAAGTTCGATTTACAGTAAAAGTCCTTTTTTTTCCGCGTGATCCTGTGACGGAGGCGGAGGGGGGAATACAGTGCTTGAGTGAGGTTATTTAAGTTCATATTAGTCTTGTTTGCACGAGTCGAGCTTCAGCTCTTGGGCCAAGAGTCAAGCTACACACGACTGGACGTATATACGGTCTCAGAACTCTTTGTGTTATTTCATATTCACAATTGATTCCGAGAGTGGACTCGAACCCGCGTCCCTCGGGAACCCAGGGATGTATGGATATTTCTCATACATCACCTTCTTTCGAATGAATTGTGCGAAGTTAGACACATACACACGCATGATCGAGGGGAGTACAACTAAAATCTTCCTTCCGCGTGACACTCTTTCTTTCACAGTTTTCATTTCTCGTGTTCTTATTGTGTACAAATCCACAAGGGCCGTGACGAGGATTCGAACCTGCGTCCGGGAGTATCCCAGACACTGCCTTAATCGACTGAGCTACGACAGGGTAAAAGGGTTGAAACCGAAGTTCTACTGAACTTACTGGATCCCGTAGCCTCTCTGAGGCACAAACCAGGATTTTACATAACCCCCCCCCCCATCCCCTGCACCCAAGCTATGTCAATAGGCCGTTCGAATCCTTGTCACGGCCCTTGTGGATTTGTTCATGTAATGCATCACGTTAGTGTGATCTCTGTGTGTTCTTATTGTGTACTTAAAACAGTTTGTCCATCTCTAAGTACATTTTATGTGGTGATCATGTCTCCCCCTGATTCTTCCTCTCTCTCTCTTTCAGTAATATGAGGTTCAAGTCCTTTATTCTTTCTTCGTAATTTAATATCTCGGCTCTGGGACTGGCACGAATTTCTTCAGCTAGGATTTCTGTAACCGTCTGAAGAGTCTTGAACTACGGCCGATTTGATTTCCAATTTCCAAAGGTCATGCGCTTTGAATGGCCAAGTTTGCATTTACATTGATCTGTTCTATTACAAAAACATAGTTTCAGTGTCCGAGTAGTTAACATGTTTTAGGCAGTGATGTGGAAGTATTTTCCCAACCTTGAGGTGCTTCCGGGGCTTAGTGTCCCCGCGGCCCGGTCGTAAATTTAAGTAAATATGATCTTTATATCGTATAGTATTTGAGAAAGAAAACAAATAGATGTGGTGGTTATCTTCAGGTTATCTTCAGATGATTTCGGGGCTTTAGTGTCCCCGCGGCCCGGTCCTCGACCAGGCCTCCACCCCCAGGAAGCAGCCCGTGACAGCTGACTAACACCCAGGTACCTATTTTACTGCTAGGTAACAGGGGCATAGGGTGAAAGAAACTCTGCCCATTGTTTCTCGCCGGCGCCCGGGATTGAACCCGGGACCACAGGATCACAAGTCCAGTGTGCTGTCCGCTCGGCCGACCGGCTCCCTAGGCAGACGCCATACACAGTTTCAAATGTAGATTTGATAGAGCTCAATAGGCTTCAGAATATGTACACCAGTTGATTGACAGTTGAGAGGCGGGACCAAAGAGCCAGAGCTCAACCCCCGCAAGCACAACTAGGTGAGTACACACACACACACACACACACACACACACACACACACACACACACACACACACACACACACACACACTCACTATGACCACCTGTTGATTGACAGTTGAGAGGCGGGACCAAAGAGCCAGAGCTCAACCCCCGCAAGCACAACTAGATGAGTACAAAGGTCCAAATATTATACGCTGCATGCGTACAAAATGCAGAATATATTATAATTGTTTTTCCATGACATATGATGCATAACACCAGGCTAACATGAGTATGCAAAATGGCAATTAAAACCCTCCAGTGTAAACAAGTTAACAGATAACAATGCAGTCTGTTAAACAGATTACGTTGCAGTTTAAACAGTTTATGGGCGAACACGGACGCCCTATCTAACGGCGATCCCGTTGGGAAACAACGGACTGCCCACCATAGCCTGATGGACCAACACTGTAGCCAGACAGGGGAAGATAGACGCCCCACACTGTAGCCAGACAGAAGATAGACGCCCCACACTGTAGCCAGACAGGGGAAGATAGACGCCCCTACACTGTAGCCAGACAGGGGAAGATAGACGCCCCCACACTGTAGCCAGACAGGGGAAGATAGACGCCCCACACTGTAGCCAGACAGGAAAAGATAGACGCCCCTACACTGTAGCCAGACAGGGGAAGATAGACGCCCCTACACTGTAGCCAGACAGGAAAAGATAGACGCCCCCACACTGTAGCCAGACAGGAAAAGATAGACGCCCCCACACTGTAGCCAGACAGGGGAAGATAGACGCCCCACACTGTAGCCAGACAGGAAAAGATAGACGCCCCCACACTGTAGCCAGACAGGGGAAGATAGACGCCCCACACTGTAGCCAGACAGGAGAAGATAGACGCCACACACTGTAGCCAGACAGGAGAAGATAGACGCCACACACTGTAGCCAGACAGGAAAAGATAGATGCCCCCACACTGTAGCCAGACAGGAGAAGATAGACGCCCCACACTGTAGCCAGACAGGGGAAGATAGACGCCCCTACACTGTAGCCAGACAGGAAAAGATAGACGCCCCACACTGTAGCCAGACAGGGGAAGATAGACGCCCCTACACTGTAGCCAGACAGGAGAAGATAGACGCCCCACACTGTAGCCAGACAGGAGAAGATAGACGCCCCCACACTGGAGCCAGACAGGAGAAGATAGACGCCCCCACACTGTAGCCAGACAGGGGAAGATAGACGCCCTACACTGTAGCCAGACAGGAGAAGATAGACGCCCCACACTGTAGCCAGACAGGAGAAGATAGACGCCCCCACACTGTAGCCAGACAGGAGAAGATAGACGCCCCCACACTGTAGCCAGACAGGAGAAGATAGACGCCCCACACTGTAGCCACACTGACGAGCACAAAAGACCACACTTAAGCCAGTCTAACAAACCCTAAGACACCACAGTGTAGCCAACCTGGCGAGCACACATATACCGCCTGGACAAACAAACAAAGTGAAGCTAAGTGATAGTTTGTTGTTTATCCTGGAGAGTAAGCAAGACACTTGTGAGAACACACTCGTAGTCTCCTGCTGCTGATCATGCTGTCTTTACGACACCTTCCCAGAGTCGCTGATCACTGAAGCCTTACCTGAGAGCTATTGTCACTTTGTTTTATTTTATTTATAATTTTTTACTAACACATTTTGGTACATGTGCATTTGTGCAGCTGCCCTGGACTATATGAAGGGGAGTACAGTGTGTCAAAAAGCTAGCTACGTGATGCTAAAAATCCCCATCACACAGGATGGTTAGTCATACAGAGGCATGTGATCAGTAGTCTGCACTGGCAGACTCTGGGAGCATTATGAGGATATCATCATCACAAGAGTGAATAAGATAGCAGTGATACTGGGTCCCTATCTCGCAGGATGGTTATACAGGGCCATATGTTCAGTAACCTGCACTGGCAAATTTTGGGTGCATTATGAGGATATCTTCAAGAACACGAGAGAATAAATTGCAAAGCTCCAGGTACCTCATGCCAACTGGTCTGAAAGATCTAATAACGGGACATTCAGTGATGTAGTGTGGGAGATCATGCCGTAGTTCCTGCTCACAGAGTGTACCTGCTCAAACTTACTAACACTATGGTAATATTGTATCATGGGTGACCTGTCGCACAGTGGCTATAGCGAAATCGACACACTATCGAACGGACCCCAGTTCGATTCCCAGACACAACAAGACGTTTGGAAACATTTCCTTGAACCTGATGTCTCTGTTTACCTAGCAATAAATAGATACCTCATAGTTCTACAACTATGGAAGGTCAGTCTAGGGATGCCACCATAAGTTTAGCAGGCTTCCTGTCCCCACCAATGGGACGCAATTTACTACCCTACCCCACCTTAGGTAAGGTACCTAAGGTAGGTAAGGTATCTTACCTTAAGGTAAAGTAAGGTACTTCAAGATAAGGTACCTCAAGGCAAGATAAGGTACCACAAGACAAGGTAGGGTACCTCAAAGCAAGATTGGGTACCTGCAAGCCCATGTCATATCTCAGATATAGCGACATATACTGAGAGTGAAGTTAACTTAATAACATTCTCATGATAATATCGTTATCATCTCATTTTAATTGGCGTAAGAGAAGTGTGCTAAGGTGGATTAGAGCCACTATTCCCTAGTCCTGGGATGGATTGGAGCCACCATTCCCTAGTCCTGGGATGGATTGGAGCCACCATTCCCTAGTCCTGGGATGGATTGGAGTCACCATTCCCTAATCCTCGGATAGATTGGAGCCACCATTCCCTAATCCTGGGATAGATTGGAGCCACCAT